AGAACCTGACAATTTACACGACATTCTCGAAGCCCTATAACGACTTCACATGATGGCTGTGCGTGATGTGGTAATCTGAACAGGTAGAGTTCAGGTTCAAACGTAGGTTTTCTTACTATAAACTCAAGCTATGTCAGAACTAATTTTCTCTTAGTGGTGGCATTTCTACAGACGTAGTTCATAGTCAACTGTGGAACGGATGGAAAACAAGTAGGCCACGACCACCTCCTGGATCCACAGCTTATCACTTCCATTTTCCAGATCGAAAGTGGGGGCATGCAGAGGTACGAGGTCCTCTCCAAGGCTACAGTGGCACAGTCTGCCCAGCCACCCGACAGCACAGCCTCTGCTCTCTGCCCGCGCTCTGTCTCCTGGATGCGGGGTCCCTCCCACCCCCCTTCCCAGACCCCCGCCTTTCTCAGTGCCCTCCGTGCAGCCTACCCCCATCCTCCTTAAAACCTGAGAGCAGGATGTGCACTTGCTCAAGATCCCCGGTGGACGGGGTCATGTAACGACCCTTTGCCAGATGCTCGCTCTGTTTCTCTGACGGATGCTTTCTCTCCATATTTAAATCATGTGTTGTTTTGGGGGAAAAAACCCACACAGTATCCCTTCCTTAGTGTCGGGGATAAGCTCTCAACAGCCGTGTCCTAAATCTAACCGAGCCGTCTTTAATTTCCCGTTGGACGTCTCCGCTTCCGTCGTCAGATGCCCTGGCGGGGCCCCCAGAGGCATCGACGCTCGCTAAGGTTTCTCCTGTTAAACGTTAGAACGTAAATTAATTATTAAAGGAAATCGATTTAAACGATCTTTTCTTTCAGCGGGCATTGATTTTTCCACTAAAGCTCGCAGGTGTGCGTGTCTTCTGTAAAATATTTATTAGCAACGTCACGACTTCTTTATCTTATGCTTCCTTGATGGGAAACAACGTGGTGGGAGTTTTAGCTCAAGGTGATTTGGAAAGGGATAGAAGCATCGAATGGTCATCTGAATTTTAAAAGAGCAATCCATTTGAAACACTTATCAGTTTTTACTGGCGAATTATCATGTTAATATATTTTTTCCTGATGTGGTTTTCCTCGTCCGCAGAATTTAGTCATATGAAAAATTCTGAAATAAGAAACAAAAATTGTCCAAGCTATACCATTAATTTCTTCTTTTGAATTTGCCGAATTATTAAATACTGGGAAACGGCTATTAACAAAAGAGCCAAATATACAGCTCAGTAAATATTCACTTGGATTAAAGCAATATTAACGCGGCGTATTTTATGCTCGACTCAAAATTTTCATTTGCGATTTGAATTTGAAAATTTATTGTTATTCTCAGGTGCCAAGCTAACTATACAAGTACTAGTAAATAATGATAGTGTGTATATAATATATATGTATATATTATACAAACACACATATGTTTGTATATATACATGTGTATATGATTTTCCAGGGAATTATATATAAATCGTATTTAGATTTCTGTTTCACTAAAATAACAGTAATCTGCAGTTAATTTTTGTGAATCGAGTCTCCGAATGTATAGAACTATATGAAACCTACATAGAATCGATCACTCTGTTTTCTTTCTATACTAATAATTTCATTAACATTAAGACGATATGAAAATTAATATATTCACAACAAATTTCAAATAACTATTTTGCTAGATGGTCCTTATGAAATATTTCCATCCCCTAATTATCCAATATTTCTACCTACTACCATTTGCCTCTGTTTAGAGTTACAAAGGTACTTTGGTATGCACAGTTGCTAAACAATAAAATACACCGGATTTATTGCAAAGCATCTCCGGTTTACTTTAAGAGGTCAAGTTTCGGGCTTAGCCTTCCCTGAAGACTGCCGCCTGTGCCAAAACCAGACGGAGGCCAGATTAAATTACTGGTTCCACACTCGTCCTAATGGGAAATGATGACGGGCAGTGGGAGTTGTCAAAGGAGCACTAGGAACGGAATATCTTAAAAAGGTATATACTATGTGTAACGAAAGCTTAGAACTGAGATGGTAATGTTTACGCACAGCACCCGAGCTTGTCTGGTGCGGGCGTGGGGGGTGGGGGTCGGGGCGAGGTGGCCGATGCAGAGGGTGTGGTGACATCAGCATTCTGAAGCTCGCGTCTGGGGTGGGAGTTAGAACACTGTCGTTTCATTTTAGGAGGTCAGTGGAGAAATACAGATTTATTTACCATCGTTTAATACATGTAATTGCCACTAATGAACCAGGGAGGCCTAGCAGAAAACCCACATCAAGGCAGTTTGGGAAGAGACAGGAGTTGAGAGAAAATTCACTAAGGAAGCAGAAGGAAGGGAAGAAAAAAAGGAGGAAACAATAAATCATACACCTGAAAAAAGAGTGGAAGGAATGGAAGCCAATATATCAATCAACTAAATGTAAAAGAGTTCAATTTCCCTATCAAAAAACAAAGACTATCATATTGTCTTCAAAAACGAAATCCAGATATGTGTTGTTTTCAGGAGACACGCAGCAGCAAAGCGATAGTAGGAGGGGCTGAAATGTGTTCCCCAGGAAGACTTGCTGAAGCCCTAATGGCCGGGCCCTGTGACCGTGACCTCGGAAACAGATCTGCGTCACGGATGTATCCAAGATGAGGCCAGCGGGGTGTCCTCCTAAGAAGAGGACAGACAGTCACCAACACCGGAGAACGGCACGTGACAACGGAAGCGGAGACCGGGGTGGGGCGTCTGTACCCCGGGGACGCCCGTGATTTTCCAGCAGAGCAGAAACAAGAGGAGGGCGTGGGATGGCCTGTCCCCCAGATTACCCAGAGACAGAGCAAGGCCCCGCTGGCCCCTCGGATTCAGACTGCCAGCCTCCGAATTTCTGTTGTGTTAAACCATCTGGTTTGCGATCATTTATCCTGGTATGGCTGCCCCAGGGGACCAACACGCAAAGAAAGGCCGGAAATCGATGTGCATAGCAGGGAGATGCAAACCCACGGGGCCGTATCGGCGGAGGCTCAGGCGAAGCATCAGGCGGCAAAGAATTCAAGGCCAAAGCCGGTAAGTGGGATTTTACATAAGCTGAAAGGTTACAATTCCCCGAGAAGTTAGAGGGAGGCGGTATCGGAAAGGGTTCGGGCGAGGACCGTGGCTTTGGAGATCTCGCTTGACGTTCACGCGAGATCACACACCTGTGAGATGTGAATGACAGTGACAGCTCACTACAGGGCAGTGATGACTTTACTCCTTGATGAGGAACAAAGGAGCCAATGCAGGTAAAGTGCTCGGGACAACAGCTATCGTCCGCACTGAAAAGGTGTGAGCTGTTATTCTTTTCCTGTTGTTATTACAAACTTTGACATAAAAACCATCCAAGCAACGTGTGATATAAAAAACCCCAAGGAAAGAAAAGGACGTCACAAAATCACCGTCCGGGCGGAGGGTCTGAAACACTTGCCTTCCAAACCCGACGTCGATTTGCCACAAAGAGCAAGTCTGTGGGCACCTGTGCGGGGTCCAACACGCGCACGCGTCCTGCCCCAGAAGCAGAAAACACATTCCGCTTACACGGCCCCTGAGGACGTCTGAGCACCGCGGAACCGACAGACGTTCTCAGTAAAATCCTCGCGAAAGACTCCGTGACCTCTGTTCTCTCTCCACGATGCAAGGAAAACTAGGAATCAAAAACTGGAAAAGCTCAAACAATGGAACCACTCGAGTAGTACGGACGATGTGTCCTTTACAGTGACCCCAGAGTCTCTGTGACACTGGGGTGACGGGCAGGGGCCCTCCGGCGTCTGAGGGGCGCACGGTTAAGCCGCACTTGCCAGGGACAGGCCGCCCAAGGGCGGGACACTCTGATGCGCAGGAGGGTGTTTGTGCTGGTTATGGATTCCAGGAGGGCTCCCGGCCTTCGGGGCCAGGGATGCTGGATGTCCCCAGGGGCTCGGGACCCCCCAACACAGTGTGGCCGAAAGGCCACTTACGTTCCCACTGATAAACTTTGTTTTCAAAGCGAACACAGGGCAAAGAATCCACAGAGACTGCACCGGGCTCGGCTCCCTCCACTCTGCAGCCTCGTGTCCAGCTGCATCTGCCCCCGTGGCCCTCGCGACGTCTCGTCGATGGTGCCCTCCGCCCCGGCAGCTTCGGAGCTCACGCCCCCGCTGCCGCACCCACTTCTGGACTCTGCTCAGGTGTCACCTGCCCGAGGGGCAGGCACGGACTACCTGTGAGACAGCGCTGCCGGCTTCTCTGTCGGCCACTCTGTGTTGGCCTTTGACGTAGTGACAGTCCGCCACGTGCCACTTCGCAGCTCGATTTGCCTGCTTATTGTCCGTCTCTTCTCTGCTCACAGAGTGCAGGACACGCCCCTCTTTTTCCCTTAGGAATAACGAATTCGAGCTTTTCCTAGATCAGTCTGTATAAAGTTTTATCAGTCTATATAAAAATTTATGGGTGTGTTTAGTTGAGAAGTTTGTGCCTCTACATTTTACTAATGTGACGTTTGTGAACGTTCTTTTATTTCTGACGGCAGTAAACACGTTTTCAGACTCGTAACTCCCACGACTCAGAACGGTGTGGCGAGTCCCGTGCGGAACGTCACCTGTACAGTTTGCCCCCTTGGTCACCCTGATGCGTTTTCGAGTGAGCGGACACGCTCTAACGTCACGTAACGTTCCTCTGGGAAGACCCCTTCAGGAGTGGAGTCATACGTCTGCCGAAAGCGACATGTTCTATGTCAGGACTTCACTGTCACAGCGCTGGGGGCCGGGGGCTCGTTATCTGCTGCGATGCGCGTTTACAAGTCGGCCCCGGGCTTTGTCCCCCATGCTGGCGCCTGTGCCCCTGCCGTGCTGTGCGGTGGGACAGCAGACGCGTTTCTCACCCCTGCAGGCGTCCCTGGCGCTGCACACACAGCGGACCCTCCACGGTCACCGGCGGCACCTGCCCGCGACAGGCTTCGTCGGTGACCGGGACGCACCCCGCCCTCCTCTAAAGGAAACGAGTAAAGGCGGTCACTCACATTTGGAGCCTGAAGACGACCCGCTGACGGCCGATCTCGACGCCCCCTTCATGGAGAAGACGCCTTTGCCCCGGCGAGTCGTGGTGACGGCCACTCGGGGGCGCTTCAGGGGGACGGCCGTGCGGGGCGGCGGCGGCACGCGCCCGTGGTACTCGAACAACCTTCGGGAGACACAAACGGGTGTCGTGAGTCGGCGTCTGCCCGGGCGCGACGGTTTGGCCCAGAAGCTCCTCACGCCACGGCGTGGAGCGATTCCGAGCGCGCGGCTCGTCCTCGCTGCCGCCCTGTCACATCCGGAAACGGGTCTTCCCTAGAAGGCTCGTTTCTCGAAAGCCGGGAGAGCACGGTCTACGCCTCCCGACTCCGGACTCCGAGTCTCCCGCGGGAACCCGTCTGGAAGGCGTGATGCGGGACCATGAGCTTGGCCCCCGCGGCGCCATGCACTTCGCTGCAACCACACCGAGCCCGGCTCAAGGGATGTCCCCTTTCCCGCCGGAAATGACCCGCTCACCCATCAGACACTGATCAGCACCCAGTCTGAAGACAGGAAGCGAGTGTGCGGAGCCAGGACCAAATCCCAGGAAATCTGTCCCATCGCCAAACAGCTCGGAAAGTCAGACCGGGGTAACGGAAACAGCTGTGAGGGGTGACCCGGGACAGTGAGCAGCTCTAAGGGCGTCGTGAGTGAGGACAATGGGGACGGGACTCGGCTGAGAGGCTGCGGGCCCGGGGCAAGCTCTGCGGATGACCGCACCGGAGGGAAACACGCATCCGCGTTGTTGTTCTGACCGTCTGCTGGACGTGCCAGCTGAGACGACAGGTATTTGTCCGATCGGCCACTGAAGATTTCCCTCACGAGAGGAAATGCCAACGGCACTCTTCGCAGCTTTTGGTAAAAAGTGAAACATAGGATTCGCCGCCATCAGTGCATTTTTGTTAAACGATGACAGGAATGAGTATGCGCATTTACTCATTTATATAAACGTGTAATCCACTGGGTTTTCAAAAGCTCCATTTTATACTGTGTACACACAGACAACACATTTTCATGCGACTTAGCACATTTGAGAATCACAAACATTTAGAGCAAAAAAATGAGGATATATTCACTCATTTATTTTTAAAGACTCTTCGCCAGCGAACCAGATGTGCTGTTATTCATTATAAAGAGCATTACTGACTTAGAAGGATGATTGTTACATATTTGACTGTGACACCATTACATAGATCATGTTCTCACAAGGGCTTTAAAACAGTCGATAAAAATAATCTATTGCAAATGTCAGCAATGAGAAAACCAGAACAGAAAAGAAAATTAAAAAATCTCTTCTAATAGGTTATTTCATAACTTTGCTTCTTATTTACACATACAGATGAACACAGGATAATTCTTTTTTGAAAGCTATAACAACAATTAAGATAAGCTGGTTTCCAAATATTCATTCATTCGTTTGGAGGGAAAAAGTAGTATATAACCCATACTGGAAGCAGAACCGAATTCTAGAAATGTCTCCAGCGTCACAAAGCCAAAGTGTTAGAAACGTTTTTGGAAACAAACAAGCTGAGAACAACTGAGAGGCGTCTGGAGAGGGGCAGGAAGGGACCGAGAGCTCCAGGGAGACCCCGCCCTCTGCGAACCAGCGAAGGCCAGCAGCCTGGGAACTGCTCGCAGAGAACAGGTCGTGGGTGTCGCCATACACGGTTTACTTCGAAGGGTGCAAGCGGGCGAGGCCAAGGGGGTACGTATGCATCTGCACCGCCAGGGCCTGAGAAGTCCAGAGGGCCAGCGATGACCGCCTCCATTGCCATCGCGAAGCAAGGTCTGCATTATTCACTTCTGAGCTGAATTCTCAGAGCACCTTAGGTCAGTGAACCCAAACCCGAGGCACTTTTCCGGAAAGAAACAGAGCCACAGAGCCATCTCTCGCAGGGTGGGTCCTGCCTCTCGAGATGAAAGGCCAGGTGTTCTGGACGGAGCATTCCTGAAGTCAGCTAATCTGTGCGTGGGGTTACGGAAACCTCGAAAGCCCACTAAAATACGTAACGATGGAAGGATGCCGCCACGAAAAAGCAGGCCAGCACGGCCACCCTCGTCACCGCGTCTTCAGTTACGATGCGACAGGATAATCGCTACAGAGCGTAGCCCCTGTTCGCTGAACGTTTGGGTGAACTGCTTCACAGCGGGATGACTCCTTCCCCTCCGAGCATCGGTAAGGTTTTACCAGTTCTTCCTGCTGCTCTGACAGGGAGATGTGCAGCATCAGGACTGAGCATTGTCAAAGTGACGTGAGGTTTGCACAACGAAGCTACAGCCAGGACTAGGACTTCACGAAGGGCCTTATTTTTAATTTCACAGAATCTAACAGAGTTGGGCGTTTCTTAACTTTCCCTGGGCGCACTTGAGATGACGAGATGTGAAAGGAAGACAGGAGATCGTGCTGACGGATAAAGAGCTGACATGGTAACGATGGGAAGCGGGGGGTTTTCTGGGATTATGGGATGGGACGTGGGGTTCTTCTGGATGCAGGGGGAGGTGGGTGAAAGGCAGCTCACGGAGGAGACCCGCGCATCGGCTTTCTCGTCAGAACTCTGCGTCTCGTAACTCAGACATTTCGCCTTTCCAAAGTGCTGGCTTGGCAGACAGTGCTGACACGGACGAAGAACCCGCAGAACTGCACGGAACCCGGATCCCACAGGCGAGTTAGGAGCTTAACGCTCCTGCCTCTCAGCTTTTCGCTCCTTCACCTCTTAGAATTACAGTCCTTCTCCTTCTTTTTAATGGGTCTTCATTTTACCTAATATTGCTCAGTCAGGATACTGGTTTTCCCTGTACTTACTGATCAAATAGAGAACTATTTACACGAAGCCAAACACATCATTTTTCCTTCCCCAAGGTCTATTTTAAAATAGAAGCTCTAAAAGACCCAAGAATCCCGTTTTTCCCCTAATATTGACTGATCAAGTAGATAATGGTTTATAAGGAAGCCAAACATAATTCTCTCTTCCCCAAGGTCTCTTGTAAAACAGGAATGTAAAAGACTTACTCTCAAGCAGTAAATAAAATAAATGTAGTCGTGTTTTAATAAAAGCAACCCACCGAGGAAATGTGAAGATTTAAGCTGTTTTATTTGATAAACATTTCTACTTTTCATGTGCCTACTTCTTGTTTGGAATTTTGTTTAATAATATGTGAGACATGTGATTTTATTAAATAGCAAAAGCTAAAAACTGGTAAATAATTTTCATATTAACTTGATAAAAATAGACATGACTTGTCTCTAGAAAGAATAAGGATATTAGCTGTCAACAAATAGCTGCTCTTTCCAACAAAGGCGATTCAATGGCATGTTGACATATAAAATGAATACAGTTTTGAATACTTGCTTTTCATTAAAAGGTTGTTATTATTAAGCATCGATGATAATAAAGCAACATTTTCGGGAAAAACACATGAAAAAACCACACTCTAAAACAATTAGTATCGTTCGCCAAACCTTTTCCCACTAGTGTCCATGTTTTTCACGTAATTGAAAGCACGAGATATGCACAGTTGCGTCTTCTGGCCAGTTCTCTTCGGTTTATATTTAAACAGCTTCTTGTGCCTGCCCAGTGGTCCCGCTGTTTACGTCATCGCCACGGTGCCTCTTCTCAGGTCAAATAACCACAACTGGATAAATCACTGCCCGATGGACTTGACTCGGTGCCTATATTCCACCGCCGACTGATACAGTTTTAAAATTCGAGAAAAAATTTTGAAAATGCAGCATTGGCATAGTATTTTGCCACTGAACACGAAGCTTTCATTTTAGATAAACGACGATTTAAAGCATTGACGGTTCCTTATTTTCTTTCAAATTCCCCTCGTGAAAAGAGTTCTTCGCTTCACGTACTCGGATCAACTCTTATAGTCTCTACGTGCTTAATGCTAAGAAAAATATGTAGTTGAGACGGGGGGCCAACCCGCCGGGCTCCCCGGTTTACGGTCATGCTCCCACGGGGGTCTCTGAGCAGGTGAATGAAAATCGATAGCCAGAGACCGTCCCCCTGTCTCCACCCAACCTTGACCCCTCCTCTTCAGTTTGCTTGACTTCTGACAGATGCAAAAAAGCAAATTAAGGTGCCCTTTTATTTTTAAGAAAGGATATGTTTGAAATTCACAGGAACGACTTTATACTATACATAGTCTGTAATATATATAGTATAAAGATATAGTATATCTGTTTTCTACAGTTTGAACTACCAAAATTCTTAAAATCTGTCTATAATTCCACCCTGACCTCAGATAAGCTTTTGGTTACAATTGAATCAGAAAATAATTTTTAAAGATACGTTTTGCTTGAGACAGTAAATATTTGATTTCTTTTTTTTTGTCATGAAACTTTCCCAAGATTTTTAGTGACCTTCCCAACCCAATCTGGGGCAAGCTGATTGAAATCTTGAATGATCTTTTCTTGCAACATTTTGACCTTAATATAATCTTCCTATTTTGTACAAATTTGCTGTTCGCTACGGCTTGCATACAGCATTGGGTAATCAGAAAGTTAACACGTTTGAGTAGCAATAAAATGGTTCTTTTATTATTTAACTCTCTTTTTGAAAATTATTATTTATGCCTACAGCACCCGATCTTCCTAGGTGGTCTCCCATCCAAGTACTAACCAGGCCCGACCCTGCTTAGCTTCCAAGATCAGACATCAGGCTTGTTCAGGGGGACATGGCCATAGGCCATGGACTGTGGCTCCACTGGGGCACGAACCCAAGACCTTCTGCATGTAAAGCAGATGTGCTAACCGTACACTATGGAGCCACATTCTATTATTTAACTCTTATAATTCTGCAATGTTGGTTTTGTTAAGTCATTTTGCCCAGGAAAGAGACCTGTAAAAAAGGAGGTGACTCGCCCCAGTGCAAACAGCCAACTCATGCCCACCGGGCCCCGAAACTCATCTCCGCTTCTGAGTCACACCCGCTGCCAACTGTGCCACGCTGCTGCCTCCAGACATTTTCAGTGTCCGCCACTCTAGCAGATGGTAATTTAAATTTGCATAATGAAACAGACGTTGCCGCTCGCTAATATGTTTTTCCGATATTCATGAATATATACTGTGCTCTGTAATCAATGATCTGAAACAATGGCAACTCGACAGGGGCGCCTTTCCATTAACGGCATCTCCGTCGGCTTCCCTTCTGTTAATTTACACGAGGTCAGAATCGTCCCGGAGTGGAACCATGTCCGCGTGAGTCATTTACGAGTAATGTGTTTTCTGTGCGGTAAAGCGCCGAGGGCATTGTTTTTCTCTGTTATCAGAAGTTTACTCATTCCTGGAGGTGACAAGCCACCCGGTGCTCCTGCTGATATAGTGGAAAAAAGTCTGGCTTAAAACTGCTAATATCTCAGAAATTGAAAATGTTCCCTGGGGCAATTCAATGTAATTTTAGGCACGTATCTCCTTTTCTTTACTTGGAAGAGTATAAATATTTATGTTTCGTTTTAATAACATGTAATGTCCTTCATTTGGAGCCAGACTTGACCTTTCAGAAGAAAATGCAATTGAATGCCGTAAATTACTGGCCAATGCTTTGGATCATACGAAACGATAAAAGTTTAGAACAACGACTCAAGTCTATTATTTAGTGATACACTTCGTGATCCCTGAAATTATGGATAGAAATTAACTTAGTCTTTGGGAAAGTTACTGCTGGGCCAACGTACCAAAACAGCTTTGTTTTTGCTTTGGCTTCCTGTTCTCGTCACCATCGCTCCGGCCTGGCTGCCTGGGGAGAAGCAGCAATTCATTCCAGTAGTGGCGGCTGAATCCAGTTTGGGTCATTTGCAACACCGGCAGAACAGTGTCATCGCACCCCTCAAAGAGGTCGGGGTTCCAGCCCCACGGCCGCCCCCCTGGGCTCAGACACAGCAGCACGGCCGAGCAGAAGCGCCCGCTCAGTGCCAGCTCTAAAGGTCCCTTTTCTACCTCAGCATCTGACCATGCCGGCCTCTTCCCATCCCCTAGCCCTGGGGGCGTGGCTGCTCCAGGGTTTGCGGACTCCATTGTGTCATAGTTTTCCTGCTGCTTTTTCAGATCCTCAGTACCTGGTTAGATGATGTCAGCTGCGACTGTCCCCGTGAAATATAACTAGGTGATTTCTGTTGTCCTGACCCAAAATGCAGGAGCCCGCGGTGAAAGGGAATGGCCAAAGCCTCGCTCTCTCTGCCGGTCGCGTGCTCAGTTGCATCTGGAGTTGATCGGGGGCAGAAGAAGGACAACAAGACACACAGAATAGTCCGGAGGTGATCCGACGAACCGTTCTGGAAGGACAGCTGACCCTCTGCTCGCTTCTCATCCACAGGGACACTTCTGCATGAAGATGACTACAATGACTACGAGAAGCCCGTTCGCCACCACTGGGGACGGTCACCGCTGGCCGTTCTGAGCAGCCAGTGCTGATGAAGCACCGAAAGCCGACCAGGCACGATGCCGACCATCACGCATATGCTACTTCATTGAATCCTCAGCCTCGCGAGGCAGGAATTCATTCCGTGCTCACTTCACGGACGAGACAACAGGGTTTGATGTATTAAATAACTTGCCCAAGTTTGCAACACGAGCAAAAAAAAAAAAATAACCATAAATACAAGCAGACTGTAACTTCCGAGGGACCACTGCGGGCGAGACGGTCAGCGCTGACTTAGCGGGCGACTTACGCTGTCCCGCCTCCGGTTCACGGTCCGGCGTTCACGGGGACCTGGGCTCCCAGGGAACTCCCCTCCAGCGGCAGGCGCGATGGCAAACACGCAAACGAGACCACCGGCTGCTCAGACGGTCTGTCCGCAATCCAACCACGCTCATCTGCACACTTACACGCCGAGCGGACTGCGTAAGACGAGGGAGTGACCTGGAAATTGTTCAGCGTAAGCTGAAAGCTTCAGGCTAACATTATGGCTGGTTAGGGCTCTTGCTCTTTGGCAGGTAAGGTCTGTCTGTCTGTTCGTCCATCCATCCGTCCATCCATCCATTCGTCTATCTAATGATATCTAACCTAATTAATGATTTCATTGATCTATAATTTATACATAGTAAAAAAAAAATACAGATGTTGGCTCCCTTTTAAAGGTGAGAAAATGAAAGGCCTGACTACTTGTCCAGAACTTGGGTCTCTCACCATCTAGGCCAAACTCCATTTTAGCTAGAAATCCTTCAGATGTGGAAGAAAGTCACATCTTAGAACATACCGAAGCGATGAGAATGCTAAAGCCGCTTCACAGTGACAGACGAAGAAACAGCGCATACTAATTTAAAACTTCATTCGTAGAGACTTGAAACAAAAGCCGTATTAGAATCCATCTTTAACGTCGTCGAAAATGAAAATGTTCAAATGTCTTGGAGACCACTTAAGTGTCATCTTCTCTTAACTGTGAATGGGGTTATCGCAATGCTGCTGCCAAGACCTCGAATCATTTTTTTAGGATAAGTTACTATAAGCTAGTTAATATTTAAAATAATATATTTTGTAGAAATGATGGAAACGATTCGAGAAAATCATCCTTAAAAATTCCTACCTGGCCGTGGAGGCATAGCGAGTTAGGCAGCTGGCTACCTCAGCCATCACACACGGTGGCCGTGGCTCTGGCTCCCATCTGGGGAAGGCAGCTTCCTTTACCGAATTGCATGCACTGAGGTGCCCCCCGCCAACGCCCCCACATTCACACAGTCGGTTACCGAATCTAAAAAAAATAGGTTGTGATTATAGCTTTGTCACTAGTTAACTGTGTGATCTCGGGAAAACCAAAATCTTTCTAAATGTAAGGAGATGAATAAATAATAACAAATCGAGCACCCGCTATGTTTGAGGCTTCATGGACGTGCCGGAGCACACACGAACAAGCGAAGCCGTGTACCTTTCCTGCTCTCGGGGTCTCAGGGACGAAGGGAGGTGGCCGCCCATCAAAGGCTGTCATCGCAGAGAGGGACGCAGCACGCAGAGCCGGGAGGAGGGGTGCTGGGTGCTGGAGCGGGGGACGGAGGAGGCTGATGAGCCTGAGAGTGGCCCTCCTGCCGCCCTCTGCCCTGGGTGACGGCGGAGGAGGGAGGAGCAGGGGCAGCCCAGGGCCAGGCCTGGGGCTGGGGGACCCCGTGCTCCCTGGAACCGAGGACAGCTGGGGAAGACCCGCATGGCTGGAGCAGAGGCCCCGACGAGGGCTCGCGGAGTTTCTTCCCAACTTAAATGTCGACAAACCCTTCTCCCGACTCTGCCCTTTTATGTCTTGAGAATTTTTAAAAAATATTTTATTTACTTATTTATTTTTTAAAGATTTTTATTTATTTTTGCCCCTCTCCCTCCCTCTCTCCCCTCCCCTCTGGAAACCACTAGTCCAATGTCCATGTTCCTGTTCATTTGTGGCTTTTAGGTTTATATCCCACATATAAGTGATATCATGTGATTTTCAACCTTTTCTGTCTGGCTTATTTCGCTTAGCGTGATGATCTCGAGGTCCATCCATGTTGTCGCTAATGGCAGTATTTCATCTCTTCTTATGGCTGAGTAATATTCCATTGTATATATGTACCGAGAATTTTTGTTTGAATAGAACTTATAATTAAAGGCTTAAAAGACACCTCGTTTTTTTTGTGTGTGTGTCCATTGTCTACGTAGAGATATACGACGTGCCCTCACTTTGCATATCTATCTCTGAATGTCAACCACCAATGTTTAGTTAAATAACCCCAATGTCTCAACAGCAACAATCACATTTCAGCGGCGACAATAACTGTGAGTAATTTCCCAAAGTCCAAACTTGGCTGCCGGGTCTTCAGTGCGCAAATCACTAAGCAAATGACAGTCAGCAGTCACGTCGCTCCTGGTCATTGAGCGTCTGTCACCCCGGTCACACATGACTGAGAGCGTGGGGTTGTATTGTCTCTTGTCGTCTCATGATAAACCATATGGTATTTTGTAAAAACGGGTAACCCGGACAGGGAACTGGTCAGCAAAGATGAACGTGCGGTGACACGGGGACGGAATTCAAAGGAACTGTCACGGAATTACAGGAGAAACAGCAGGCGGGGTTGCTGACTGGCTTCCGTCTGAGATGCCGGAGGAATGGAGGCCAAGCAAGCGGACCGACACGGACGAGCGAAGTCGTGACGTGACGGGAAGAGGCGGAGGTGCCCGAGAAGAAGGGACCCTGGCAAAAACTCTGCACTCAGAAGAACCAGGGACACAGCCCTCGACAGGTGGCCCGGCTGCCCAGCCCCTAGGCTGGGGTCCGGCAGCTCTCCCCGTGGGAGGAGCAGCGGCGCCATCTCCGAGTCCCGCCAGAGGCAAGCAAGCCCCGCCTGACGACTTCGATAAATCGGTCTTTTGTACAAACCAATAACACACGCTAGTTCTCAATATTTTTACCTTTTTAAATTAGTGTGCTAAATCAGTATTAGTCTTATTGTAAATTCCCTATATACTTATAACCAATAGTAGGAGAGTTTTTGATATTTTGACAAACATTTTCCAAGGTCGTGAAAAAAATCCCATTCCGCCCCCACTGACCACATTGCTTTGCATGTTTTGCTCTCGAGGTCCCGCAGTACGATGCAAAGCAGGACCTGTCCATGATTTTTACCGAAGCGAACCCACCCCGCATTTTCAAAGTGTCATACGAAAGCAGATGAACTTTAGAAGGTTCAAGAATTCTAAGTCAGCAGCAGATCTGGAAAATAACATTGGTTAATTAAATCTCTGGGATATTATCCGAACATCAGAAAGCAGATGTTAGGCTTAAGCACCCTCCAAGTCCCTAAAGTCGGAGACGCACCAAACTCGAGTAAGTATAATAAAAACGGGAAAATCTGGCGAATCTGTGTTTCTGCAGACTTAGTATTTTCTTTTAGTTTTACTAAAAAATATTATTTTAAACACATGTGACTGAAATGTGCGAAAGAGATAAAAGATAATTTAAATCAAAGGGAAACAAAGACGAACAAGTTACATACCGGTTATAGAAGTCGTCTCGGTAGTAATCGTAGTCGAAGACGTAACCACTGAGGGAAGAAACAAAAAGTTAGTTGACATTCATCTCCACCCCATTGATTTTGGCATTAATTTTTGATGCTAGAACAAGAGATTTAGGTTGCTTTTAAAATATTTATTTTTCCACGTAATTATGTATCCAAAGAATTTTATAGGGTGACGTCTCATTGGATACAGTGCCATGTCACATGACTAGATACAGCCAAACAGTGCACAGACAGATGCACGGTTTTAAATGATGAGAGCAGGTAGCAAAATAAATTTTTTTTAATACTTGAAATTAAATACGATCGAAGCCCACTTTTTTTCCTAGAAGAGATATAATGTGTAATATAGTTAACCCATCTTCCTAAGGTGTGTACGACGAGGCTAAATAATGAACAGAGGGATAAAAATAACATAAATGGATAAGACTAATGGTCCATTCGCCATAATAATGGTAAACAGAAATGGGTTTCCTCAGAAATTCAGCTTTTCTTTTTTTTTATTCTAAAAATTTATGATTCAATACTTTACATAGAGAAAAGCTTCTTAAAAAGCCAGTCTGGCTGAATCTTACCAACAATAACTTGACTATTTTAGGTTATAGAAATAGGAATCAGCAAGTGCGTTTCAGCGATAAGATTATGATGACCAAGCCCCTTAAAGGAATAATAGCTCATAAAATTTCCCCCATTCGCTTGTATAGCGGTTGCATTTTACAAAGCACTCTCTATGCATTATTTCTTTTAAAGGTTAGTCCTCACGACGACCCTGTTGGCTCCTGTAACTGGAAGACACTACAGTGGGAAAGACTTGCTGACGTTTTTATCGCTGGTGCGTGACGGAGCCGAGGCCGGGATGAAAATCTTGCAAACCCGCACCTGGAGTGTTCTTCACGACACGGAGCAGCCCTCCCCACGCTCCGCCTCACTGCGAAGGGAGTATCTGTACTACGAGGAAGTATTCTTTTTAACATTTAGTCAGTTATTTTTTTATTGTCATAAAATTTACCATGTTAACCTTTTTTAAGTATACAATTCGGTGGCCTAAAGCACACTTACCATGTTGACTGCCCATTCCCAGGACTTGTCTTTGTCCCGAAGTGAAACTCCGTGCCCTTAGAGACTGACACCCCTCCGTCCCCCCACGCCATGACCACCTCTCTGCTTTCTGTTTCTACGAATCTGCTCGTTCTAGGCACTTCGGGGGTGGGGCCGTACAGGATGTGTCCTTTTTGGTCTGGTTTAATTCGGTTACTATCCACATTGAAGCACGTAAAAGAATTTCATCCCTTTTTATGACTGGATAATATAACACGATATACATAGACATACATGCCACTTTTTATTTAAAGCTATGCTACTTTTATTCACGTCTGTCATGCGTAGTCACCATTTTACCTTACGTTCAATTATTTTTAAGAGTAGATTCATCTTATAACTGGACGTCGCTGCTCTTAGACCCCATGTCCCCCGCTCCAGGCCCTGGTCACCACCATCCTACTCTCTGTGTCTGGGTTCGTTTTCTTCAGATTCCACAGAAAAGAGGGATCATGTCCTTCTCTGTCTGATTCATGTCACCTGGCAGAAGGCCCTCCAGGTCCATCCCTGTTGTCACAGATGGCAGGATGTTCTCATGGTTGAATAACATTCTATTGTGCGTGGACCACGTCTCCTCAATCCATTCATCTGCTGACAGACACTCGAGCGATGGTAATTACGTTTCATAATCTTTTTTTTCTGACACTCTCTTTTTATATGATAACCTTAGACAGTGGTGCTTAATAGCAAGAGGAAAATATGACACACGGACTAATAATAAATGTGTCTCTAATGCAGACGACAGGGGTGATTTCTGGTGTGCCTTATACCTTTAGGGAATACTTCAAAAATTCAACAGCCTCCTGGAGATTTAAAAATGCACGAGAAAAAAGAATTCACTTTCGTTTTGCTCCATGGCTGCTTAAATGATCTTGTCCGATCTGCTTATTCTTCGCCAGATCCTGACTGCTGAGGCGTATTTACAGGAACAAGTGGTAGCTAAGCATCGCGAATCGTTTGACCTCTGGTCCCACTGTCTGCCGCCAGAAACTCAATTTTACCTGTCAGGTGAAAGATGCAATGAGATGCACAGACAGATCTTGGTAATCAGGACAAGCCTGCTTTTGTCGTCACGGTGTGGAATTGTGGCAGGCATGCCCTGGCTGTTGTTGGCTCAGGTCGTGAGCTGTAAAATCGAGCCGGATCTCTGAGGAAGAGGAAGAGGTTCAAGGAGACGCACGCGGCACCTCGGGCAGGTCTGGTTCACGTCACAGGGCTTTCCTCGCTGGTTCCTGCCTCCCTCCTCATTTTCTCCCCCTCCTGCAGATTCTATCGCTTTCATTCAAAAAAACAAAAACAAAAAAAAAACAAAAAAAACCTCTCCTTTTTCTTTCTCTTTCTCTGTGAACCTCCATGAGAAATTAGCTGTCAAAAAATGGCTGTTTCCAGGAGTCATATCTAGATTTCTAAAGTATTTTATGTATCCTACAATTTTCCTGCCAGAAGAAGATCTCGTCTTTCACATTAAAAAAAAGATTCTTTCCACCCTCACAAGCCAGTGGTGCTGTTATGCTCACGGCTAATCTATTTTGGTTTTTAAAGGAGGAACTTTTGCGATTTTCATTCGGTAGTTTTGTATGACAATCCTGTTCTTAGGCCACTGAAAATAAAATGAGAATAAATTCAGTGTCCAATAAATGGTGAAGTTTCTGTTATTTGGGGGAAGGTCACGGCAAGGGGGAGGTACTTGACTTTGTAGAAAAGTGAAACAATAGTTTTGAATATTTAACACAAAAAAATACTTTGTATTTTCCTTTTTAATTCTGGTAGACTTTTCTTCTGCTTTTCAAGGTATCTTTCTTCTATTTGCTCTCAAAATTTAAAAAGAAATCAGAATTGGTAAAGTAATTGATTAAAGTCACACACATATACTCTTTCTTTTATTGCTGAAGATTAAATGAGACCTAATAACTTTCTTGGAATTTCATTTAAACTTTTTCATTTACAGAAGAAGAAATCGCAACTCATTGGGTTTTGCGATCTACGAGATCAATTTTATCTAATCCTTCTGAAGTCGTAATACCAGCTTCATATGAGTAGTCTAACACACAAAAGTATTTCTTATTTTCTATCACGAAACTTCATAAAAATATAATCTGAGGAATATTAATAAACTTCGTAGCACAAGGAGGGGGCATTTGAATAGTTTAACAGACACCTGCCAATCATGACTACTACTGGGGCCTTCTGCTGATGGCAAGTGTGGTACGGGGAGCTGTGGCTGTATTGGCAGAACATGGCTCACGCACACACAAGTTCAAAATTCAAAACCAGGGAAACAAGCTATTTAGTTTAAATTTCATTGACAAAATACTCAGTTTAGTACCAAGGACCTTTGGAATGCGGGAAGGGCTACGAGAAAGCTTCAGAATTTATAAAATGCCAGGCTACTTGCGGGCCAGGGCCTGGCAGCTGGGCAAGAGGTTCGAAGGTGAAAACGACCCGCCCAGCCGGCTCACCTGCGCTGGTCTCCGGCCTAGGCCTGCCGTGAGCCAGGCTCAGAGCACGACTAACTGAAAGTGTGTGAAGACTGAGCCCTGGGAACGAGAGGGGGAGGAGGGAAGTGAAAGAATTATTTCCCTTTCTGGCTGAGCCAACACGGGGAGTTTGGAGACACGGGCCTGAAGGGTACTTGTCACCCTCAGGTCTGCTGTGATCAATTTAGGAAGGACGGTCACACACACACTTCTGAAACTGTGTTCAGTCTTCACTTCTGTCTTCTGGTCCAGCGGGATTAAAGCATATACATGTGTATATACTCCCCAATTTAGGATTATAAAGCGACCATGAGTGTGAAACTTTATTTTCTACAAACATCCCCATGCACCTGGCAAGCCCACTGGGACGGTGACAGCGAGAGATGCAAACATCTGGCCGTTTTGAAGACGTGGCCTGGACGAGGGACATCACCCCCCAGCCCGAGCTCCTGGCTGTGAGAATCTTCACATCGGCGCTGCTGCCGCCTCGAGAGCATCCTTTGCACCAAATGCCACAAATAAACAC